TGCTCAAAATAAGGCTGAACTGAATCCTTCCCTGTGCATCATGGCAGTGTTTCCAACTGGCAGATACTTTCACTGTAGTTCTGTCCTCCAGCTTCCTTCATTTCATACGGCAAAACCTGTCAAAGTTTGTATAAGGAACAGCAAGGAATACTTCAGCAATCAGACAGTGCATGCAACTCCTGAACACCCCAGTGTAGGCACTCAGCACACTGCAGGACACTCTTTATCATAGCATGGTGTAGAACTGCAACTTCCAGAATCAAATAAGAAAAAAACCACCAACAATACTTGCCAGTGCCATGGCCCCAAAAAGCCCAGAGAAAGTTCTCAGGGTACTGAATGTGTCACGAATCTTGCAGAAGCCACAGCTACAAATGAGAACTGCAGTTCTCAAGAAATTATTCCTTGCCTTTTTGTCTGAAAATTTTAGCTGTCCAAAGGCTCAAAATCCAAATGGCAAATAAAGATAACCTAGCATATTTTAGCAAAACTCATTTTCAGAAAAAGTCCAAAACTATTGGGGCCTGGATTTGGCACTGTGGAAACATTCCATGGGCTCACAGTCAAATGGAGTCAGGAGAACGCAGGAGCTCTGCATCAGGACAAATCCTGAGGCAAATGTAGCCCAGGCAGGATGGCTCATAGAATCATAGAATGGCCTGGGTTTTGGACACAAAACATGCAGTCCTTCAAACACCACTCGCTCAGTAGCTCAGGAAGAAGATTCTGAATACCAGCTCTTAAGAGAGGGAACCCTTTAAGATTTGCAATTTTTACCCTGCAGAGATGGAAATGACCAAATGACCCATTCTGAGGGCTTCCTACTTCAGGACTAAGCCCAAGTAAAGGTTCTGAGCTGCCTTTGCCCACTCACATCTGGGTTTGTTCAGGCTGCTGAGAAAAAGGAGATCCTCCAACATCTGTCATCTTCAAAATATCTTTGTTGTTTTTGGAGACACCTGAAAGAAATTCTAATAGACAAGAGTTTTACAACTCACTCTCCTTTCCAACACAAGCACTGTGATTTGAAAGCAACCCTAAGAGGTTTTTCTAGTAAATCGTCTCCTTATGAATAACAATGAGAAGTGAGCTCATCTTTCCCTAACTGGGTCATGGGATGCTTAACCACGCAATGTTTTTGAAGCAGTATTAAACTTTTAAGGCCATCAGATTCTCTCCTGGTGTGAGAAGCTGAGGGCTGATAGCAGCTGGGGACTTTGAACTGAAATGCACACAGCTGGAACGTAGGCAGAAGGAGATGGAATGATTAATTCACATCCACAGCAACCTATAGCTGCAAACAGAAGAGGCCACGGGACTATTTGGAGGCTATCTCAGTGCTGTGAGGTGATGTTTTTTATTTACAGCCTTCTTTAAGATCACAGTAAGATCATATACACAGCCAGTACTCGACCCTATGGCTCTTACTACATGAAGCCAGCTAATGACCAAAGTACACACGAGCTTACATCCCACTGACAGTATTCTTTGATGTCAACAGTAGGTGCTACAGCATCCAAGAAGCCACACAGTTAAAAACAAATGGGCACTGCTGTCAGTTTACTCTTCTTCAGTTTCCAGATACCTGCCAGGCTTTGAGCTTATTCCCAGCTTTCTCTGAATTGTGCTGCCTAATATCTAATATTCCTTCCTATAAATGCAACATACCAATAACAAATGAGTCTCCTGATGACAGTTCAGCAATGTGTGTAACTACACAGCAATGTGTAGAACACATCTGTCCAGAAAACAAACCTGGAAATGTAGCCCAGGGACCATGCTCCAGCAAACAGGACCTCAGCTTTAGCACAGTGTTATTCAGAGTGGAGTGGCCTGGGACAAACCCTACAGATCTGTACAAATCAGGTCAACCTCAGAGCTTCAGGAAGTTAATACAGGAGCCTCATTATTCTCATTTCAGTTAAGAAAAGCACTCCCAGAGGATGATCCAAATCTCAGGTGAGCTGAAGTACCTTCTGGAAGCATTTACCTTCCTCTACAGACTATAAAAGAAGGTCCTTATTAAAACACTCTAACAATCCTTATTAAAACACCTTCACGAAGAACCTAAAATCAGGTCAGCTCAATCCAGGCCATTTCCTTTTGTCAGTCACTGCATACCTATGGAAACACACTAAAATACATTCCCTACGTATCACTGGTTGCCAGGAATATTTGATAACTTGACCACAAAAAAAATAATTACTTCCATGGCCTGTGACACTCACCAGTTCTCCACACCTTTGCTCTGTGATACCATTTCCTTTCCTGCCTTCACTGTCAGGTCATTCTTCAAGGCTGGAAGGTGCTGCCATGCCAGGAGTATAATTATCTTCCCTGAGTAAGCTGCTTGTTTTTAACATATTAAACATACTTTGCTTTCCATCTGGGGTTTTTCTCTGGTAATTGGTTTTCTCCGTCTGTGCTGTTTGGTGAATAAAGGATTTCTTCAGTTCTGGCTACGATTACAAATCTACCTGATCCATGCAATGCATGCTATTGAGCTGTACTGCAGTTTATTTCTTTATGCTTAACACGCGCATGCCATAATCTCAGTGTTGTAATGGAAAGGTTTTGCCATATAAACCAAACCTAAGCATTATAGAATAGCACTGTGTCTTAAAATACCCTGATATTTTAAAGAGATAATGAACATGCCTGGAAGACAAACCCCTTTCTGCTGTTTATTTTACGAGGAAGTTTTTCACCCAGAGGGTGGTGAGGCACTGGAACAGGTTGCCCAAGGAGGCTGTGGATGCCCCATCCCTGCAGGCATTCAAGGCCAGGCTGGATGTGGCTCTGGGCAGCCTGGGCTGCTGGTTGGTGACCCTGCACACAGCAGGGAGTTGGAACTGGATGAGCATTGTGGTCCTTTTCAACCCAGGCCATTCTGTGAATCTATGATCTAAACAAATCACAAGGCTGCTCACTTGATTAAAAAATGATCAAAGCGTTATTTTTACCATCTAACTTAAAAGAATGCTTTACCTGCCCTGTTCTGGTCCTTCTGTGAATTATAAGTGCATTTTTGGGAGACTGGTTGGCCTACTGAGCTGGCTGTATTAGGCTTCATGATTTTCATCTGTTAGTATCTGAAGTACTATTTTCACACCCACCTTTTGGAACTTAAATAGAAACTGTGTCTGTATTTGGGCTTGTAAATTAAAGTTGTTTACTGGGGTAAATATGGAACCAGAAACCTAAGCTTAAATCAGTATTTAGTACTTTGGAGAAGGCACAGCTCTTGTTCTTGCATTGCTAGAGAAGGATGACCACTAATTTTGTTCAAAGATGAGTTTTGGGAGGAAGGAGATATATCTGTATGTTTCCAGTACAATTCAGTGGCAAATGGAAATGAAGAATAATTTGGTTTTTTTGATATCTGATCACTCACCTTCTGCATGAAATGTTTCCTTTGAAAGTATTGATGTCTTTTTAAAAATCATTTCAAATTACATGTGGGCTTTTTCATTTGAAATACCATTTTTCTCTTAAAGAAGGCAGTTGAAAATTGCATAAAGGTCAAATGGAACTTGAATTAAAGAAAAATAATTCCTAATAGATTTATGTACTGAAAATCCAAAGCAATTCTAACCATCTTCCATTTTGACACAATAAAATGCCTTGGTTGAAAAGGACCACAATGCTCATCCAGTTCCAACCCCCTGCTATGTGCAGGGTTGCCAACCAGCAGCCCAGGCTGCCCAGAGCCACATCCAGCCTGGCCTTGAATGCATCCACAGCATCCCTGGGCAACCTGTTCTACAAATGCTGTTGTATAAACAACCTTGCAAAGGAAGAAAGGATTTGATATTTTGTTCTTAATTAATCAGCACCTGACAGTGGTTATCTTACATACAGCTCAGGTAAATGATGTGTGTTGCCTGTCCAGGGTTTTCTCCAACACCTCTTCCTGCAAATCTCTCTGTTGCTTGAAGGGAACGAACGCAGTTCTCCCCCACTCCACTTTCAGCTACCATTGCAAAATATCCCTGCAGTAACTCAGAATTATGCTGAATGTGTGAAATGATAAACTATGCTTGAAAGAGTTCATATAAACTTTTGCCCCATTTGCTGAAGGAAAAGTCTGGCACAAAATCTGCATCCAGGAAATAATTATCCAGGAGTTTTCATGTTCTATGCCTGATGGTTTTTGATCAGGACAACGTCTGCTCTCTGCTTAAAGTCACACACTGCTATCTGCAATTAGCAGAAGTCTTATGCTCAGGGAGCAGCAAAGCAAGCAGCTTGACTTCTGAGCTTTGTAGTCACAGTGAATTACAAACTCCCAAAAGCTATCAGACCACACTGGCATCACACTGTGCATGGTTGTAGTCTCATGAGTCAGCATGCAACTTTATCAAATGATATGTGTGCTTTCAGTGTCTTCTCGGTAATTGCCAGTTATCTTCACATACATATTTACATTTTTTGTGTTCTATCTTGTTCTACTTAATTTTTCCTACCTGGCCATATACACGAGAAATTGGTTGTGTGGGCCAAATGTGAGCATAGATGACATGTAAGTCTAGAACAAAAAGAGGAGACATAAAAAACCAATTTGAGCTATGGCAAATCAGCTTTGCAACACTTAAATGCCTCTCAATAGATTTCTGTAGTAATACTTTCTGAACTCTAGCTATACCCAAAAACATTAATGACAGCCCTAAACATGAAGGTTGTAGCTGAGACTGAGCTAGTACTTGAAATATGGAGTAGTTGCATTCGCCTGTATGGAGGGGAAGACTCGTACTGAAGAAACATTTCTCTTGGAGAAAATGTTTAGTGATCAGTCCTTGCACAGCACTGAAACACTGCAGCAGCTGTGTGCTTAAGCTCTTTAACCCACAGGAGAAGGCAGAAAGTCCAACTAATACTCTAAACGTAAGTGCAAAGCAGGCAGATATATATCTCACGTTTAACGTAATTTAGAAGTCGAAGTAGCCAAAACATGTAACTACCAACTAAAAATCCAACCTAATTTTCTTAATTTTATTCAGCAAGTGCCATTCTAGAAGGAGAAGAAAGTGCAACAATCGATTTCAAAGACAGAAATGACACAGAGCTTGAGGAATTACCAACGCTGGTGAGTACCAGTCCAAGGAAAGGCTCCTTTCTATTACCCAGATCTCACAATCTGCTTTTGCCTCATTGCTTAGATTTTAAACCATCATAAATTACAGAGAACAACTCTGAGTTTGAAAAGCAAGACCGCGTGCTAATGCTTTTGCTTTGCAAGCAATTAGGTTGAAGGTTACAGTGCTCAAAGCATTTCTGGCAGTACATCTGTGCTGCCTCTTTGTTGCCATTTGCCTCTTCTAGCTCCGTCTCTCTCTCCATACTGACAAACTAACAAAAAACCAACAAACCCAGAAAGATCAGACAGGTCTGCAACCTTCTGCATCCTGTCCTGCACTTCTGTAGTCCTGCTGGGAATTCATCTGATCTACCAAAGCCTTTATAGCGGGGAAGAGCAATCAGCTGACAGATTAAGAACTATAAATGCTTACTTTCATACAATGACATACTGAGGTTTTCTTTCCCCTCTGTTTTCTCCCCCAACTCTTTTAGCTGCCCACAAGACTACAGAGTGTAACAAATCTCTTGCAGTTTGGAAGACTAATGACCACAGAAAGTGCATTTGATGTGCCTGATGAAAATAATAACGCTACGTATTATGAAGTTAACACTGAAACTGTTGACGGTAAAAAAATCTTCCATTTTCCATTTTAATATATCACAATCTATTTACTAAATACAACATCTGGAAAATTCAAGTACCAAAACTAAGAAGCTCTTGAATACAAATTCAATTCCAAAATTAGAGAACTGTACTAAACAGATCTTGTATAAGTTTCCATGAAGAAAAACGACATAATTGGACATGACTTAAATGTCACTGCTATAGATTGGAACAGTCATTCCTTTAGATATTAGCTTATCTTCCTATAGTTTCAAAGAGCTCTTTGCATTCACTCTTGAGCGTTTCACTTTCTCATTACTTATCAAAAAACTACCTATTACACAGCTCCATACCATTATGTTAACAGTCAATAAAAGTTTTCCTTGGACATAGTGCAGTAAATTGGGATGCAAGTAATTATTCTTTCTTACTTTACAGGTGGACTGAATGGGGAACAGACAGAGAAAACTGAAAAAGGTATTAAACAAAAGACAAGAGAGAACTGAAGTGTCAGATGATACCAAGTGCTGGGTCCTGCACTTTGGCCACAACAACCCCAGGCATTGCTGGAAGACTGGATGGAGAAATGGACCTGGGGGTGTTGGCTGAACAGGAGCCAGCAGTGTGCCCAGGTGGCCAAAAGGCCATCAGCTCCCTGGCTTGTATCAGCAGCAGGAGGTGATCATCCCTCTGTGCTGTGGGCAGTGTTGGGTCCCTCACTGCAATACAGACATGGAGGCCTTGGAGTGTGTGCAGAGAAGGGAACGGAGCTGTGAGGGGTCTTGTAGTCTACACAGACCAAATCACAGTATGCATGGCTTTGCAGGTCTCAGTACAAAGAACAGACCAGCTTGGTGACTTCAGCATGTTTGCAATCTAGCGCAGAGGCTAAAAAAAATCCAAGCAAACAAAAATACCCCACAGAGCTGCTGAAATTACCAAGCTTACCTGAGAGCTCCTAACACAGAAGGAAATCTTCCCAGAAATTCAGCACAGATCTGTCAGTTCTATCACTAGTCTCCATTATCAATGTTCTTCATGAAAAACATGCCAACAAACCCAATTCCTTCTTTCAGGTGGCCTGGAAACAATTGCACTCGTTGGAATAATAGTTGGAATCATAGTAGCTGTTGGAATCCTTGCTGGAATCATAATTGCTGTTGTAAGGAAGATGTCAGGCAGGTACTCGTAAGTAAATTGCTAATTAGGCTTTTCAAAGAGCAGCATCCCCTAAGTGAGGTCACAGGAATTGCCTCTGAAATTTCTAATACTTTCAGTTTGCCAAACGTAACCCCTGCCACAAGAGCTGCCAACATTGTGAGCCCTTCAAATCCCCTCTCAGACAATGGAAACATCTGTCAGACACTGCAGGCATAGTGCCCTAATACTCATCAGATGCATGGCTTTTGGCTCAGCCTACAGATATGAGGGATACTGAACTTGAGGACCAAGTTCTGGGAGAGCTGGATAACACGCAAGCACTACCAAGTGATCTTTACCTCTGGATGTTTGTGGAAGCTGGTACTGAGCAGTGTTGTTGGTGCCACTCCATCTAAAAATGCTCTACAGACTCCAAAGTAGTTATAAAACCACGCTGCATTTTAACAGAATTCCCTCAGCATTAACCAGCAGGCAGTAAATAAATACTTCCAGTAGTAGGGGCAGGAGAAACAAAAATACGAGCTGGGAAGAAAAATAAAGAGGTAACAGGAAAGATGGGGAGGGAGAGAAAAAGAGATCACATAATGACATTTGGGTAAATTGATGAAATATAGAGAGATGTCATGTTTTCTTGTTTTGTTTGACAGGCCCTGAAAGGAGTTGAAACAAGTAACCATGCCATTTCATGTCAGTACACACAAGTGCTTCTTACTTCAGAAGAACTAAAGACTATTCCTGTATCAGTGTGAGAAGATGATCCATGGAAGATATAGTGGAAAAGTTCCACATCTATGGGGATCCCACACAGCTCTCCCAAAGACTTTTCTTTTTTTAAAACAGACTGCAGAGCATGGAACATTTGCATAGGATTTTTGCTAACCAGGAGTTTCCTAGAGGAACAAAAAAGATTATCCTACAGGAGAAAGCTCCAGTAGCAATGACATTTACATCTGAAATATGATGTGCAGGTAATGTATGCTAGCTTCATTTTAAATGCTGCTGGCAAAGATTATTTCACATCACATATTATACATTTCTTTTTTCAAAATCTTTTAAATGTTTTGGCTGGTTAAGTGCTTGTGGCATGTTCATCTACTGAATTAGCAAGGTAGGACATTTCTTATCAGAAAGGAGGTATTGCTTCAGATATTGATACTGATTTTCTGCTCAATACTTACATTATCATGTGGCAAAGTACAATAGGTCCAGCTGGAACTGACCTACCAACTAAAAGCTTGTGCATTTGACTTGCAACAAGAATTTCCTGTCTTCTCTTGTTGCAGAGACACAAGGATTGAAATACACATCCTGAATTAAAGGGTGCTTGGAAAATACCCAGTTTTGATGGGTCACTTTAACCAGTTATTCAGCACGCTTTAGAGCTGATGTGCAAAGGCTTTTGGATTCATGTATTCACGTTTTTCTTTATAACTGTCTTTTTCTAACAGGATAGCCTGCTTGATCACATGCATGAAACACTAAATCAGAGCATGTTAGTGACATATAGTGCACCCTTGGACTCTGCAGCTTTCTACTATGGCACATTAAGTGCAGCAATATCTGAACATGCAGAGTGAAAGCTGTGTATGTCAAATGGCTGCAGTGCATTGTGTTTTCTAAACTAAAGCATCAAATGTTTGGTGTAAAAATCTTACATTTCATATGGCTGACATGTATTAAACAAGTCAATTTACATAGATTTACATGTGTTTTTCTGTTTCTTCTTTGTGTCATGAACCTTCCCATCTATCCGATCCTTGGAAAGAAAATGCAAATTATGCCATGTTTCAGACTAATTGTTCTCTATTTTTCAAAAATAACCTGAGAAAAAAATCATTGAGAGGTCTTTTAGTGCAGTTCTTAATGCTCGTGAGTCTGCAATGACTGCCAAGTTTGTACACAGCAACAGAAGTAGGGAAAAATTAAGATGAGAGATTTGTAAATATCCCAATTGGGCAACATAAATATTGACTGCATCTGAAAAGCCTTCACTTGGATCTTGCTTGCTTGAGCTTTAGTAAACTTTGTCTTCCTACTGGTCTACACCAAAAATTACACTCTTTTGGATCTAGAGATCAAAAAGCTGTGATTTCTAGAAATGGGTGCTTTTCTGTCTCATTTACTTTAAAAAAAAAAAAAAAAAAAGCCCTCTTTCCTGACATTTGAGTTCAGACTTTCCTTTAATCTCATAACTCAGGTGTATATGTACACATGGTTTTGGTTTGTAGCTTGCTGTCAGCAACAGCAGTCACCTCCAAACTGCCAATGTTACTCTAGGTAACACTGGCAACAGTCATTTTGTTCCTTACCCAGGGAGATTCTAATGTAAACTTCTCCACAAGAATGAGTTCCTCTTGAATAAATTGTTCCCATCACATCCCAAGATGCATCCAGGCAGGCAATTCATAATGAAATGGAAACATACTTCAACTTGTTTTCAAAGTCTGCTCTGACAAAACATGACTGAGGTTATAATGCATAGAGTGAGACTTTAGAATAGGTATGCAGCCATACAAGATGCCACTGACTTTAAAGAAAGTCATATATTTACCTTTCCATGCTAATCTCATGTAGTTAAATCTCAGATACCAAGGCATATCCATCCCAGAATCTGTGCACAGTAAGATAGTACCATGGAATAATGCATCCATATGTCACCTCTAGCTTAATCTCATTTGGTTTGGCTCTGCTTACAATCAAAAGCTGAGTACAACTAAACTGAAAGGAAAATTAATGATACCACTGCACAGTCATGTGTTTACTATATGAGAGTCTATCACAAGTTTAAGCCTGGTGTGTACCCAATGTCAGTTCTTTAATGCTGAATTAGTATTGGGCATTTTTGAAGTACGTAATCCTGGCCCCGAAAGTGGGCTGCAAATTTTTGTTATGGTTACTGAAGACAAGGGAATTCACTTTAACTTTTTTAAAAGGCACCTAGCTTGTGTCAGTACTTTCTATCTATGACTCATACTTTCTGTAGCATTACTCTTGAAAAGAAGTCATGTAGTTTATCCAGTCATTTCCGAAAGCTCCAATATATTACATCAGTTACCTTTCAAGCAAAGTGAGGCCACAGGCTCTTACAGATTAGCACATGAGATTCCATCCCTGAAATACAATGCACACATGCCTAGATGTGGCATTTCCAGTTTGGCTCAGTTAAAGATATTGTGTTAGCTGGAAAGAGTCACCTTTCACACTAGCATTCCTTGCTTCAGTTTTCCTCTGTACTTTTACATTATGGTACAGAAAGGTGCCCAGATTACTTGAGCTATTTTGTTTCCATGTCCATACGTACACTGCTTTTTCAAAGAGAAAAAAAGATCAATTATATATAAAACTTATCAGTTTGCTTGTCTGACTTGTATGAATCAGCTAAGAACAGTTTTAAACTCACATAAAAGCAGTAACATTACAGCTTTTTCCTGTTGTGACAATAGGAGAGAACAGTATTTTCAGTTACTTTAGATTTGACAATATCTTGTCTGTACTGGAAGGTCCCCTACAGGATGCACTTGATGTTTGAACAAAAGCATGCCATATGGAATTATGAATTATTCAACCATTGTAAGGAATAGCACATATGTCATCACTTCCTTCTGCACCAGCTCACTTGCTTCTAAATTGCAAATACCACAAAATGAAAAAAAACCCAAAACACTTTATTGTGTAAGTTCTGGACATTTGTTATGCCAGGGGTAAGACCCCATTTGAAAAAGGCATAGGATAGAGTAGATAACTTCTTAGATAATAACTTCTTAGGTAAATGGAGCTCTCCTTGATCAAATACAAACTCCAGCTGAACAGCCTGCATTCCACCCAAGTAAGCCACGTTTTGCTCCTGCTCCAAAATATCTCATTAAGATCTGCTTTAACTTCATATATTGACTACTGAAGTGTTTTGGTCTTAACCAGGACTTCAAATTCTGCCCTTTGATTCAAAGTAAAGCTTTATTAATCTTAGGTGACACCAACTGCTACCAGATGGCCCATGCTCCACTGATATATAACCTGGAAGGCTTCCAGCACTGGAGGCTTGCTATTAAGCACACTGTGCTGTAATAGATCTGAACCTATAAAGACATGGGGACGTGAATTTCCCAGACTGAGCTGGAGCACAGGGTACCCAGGATATGGCTTAGAGAAGGCAGGAGCTCTGAAGATCACCATTTCCTTTATTCTGCCAATGTGAAGAAACAACAATTGCTGCTGCATTACTTTTAGCAGGAGCTCCCTGGTGGGGTTTTGTGTGCGTGTTTTGGAGGGGGATATTTGTAGTTGTTTTTTTTTTTCTGCTTTGGAAGAAGTCAAACAGCACATTGTTCTAGGGCAAATACTTCAGTGAGCTGAAATGAATGAGCAGTATACATGTCTGCAGAATGGGGTCTGAGGTCAGGAGACTTCCTATGAATGTGAACACATCAGGAAACAACAGCTCCATATTTTGTCCAACTGGCCAGGTCAGAATTTTTATTCACCAGGAATAGCATTCAATATATCAACACTTGCTGTTAACCTAAAATCCTTACTCCTGATCATGTTCATTCCTTTATGGTTAGTAACAGCAACGTTCCCTTTTGCAGCTTGGCTGTGAGTCATGAATGTGGCTCTTCTGAACAGACAAGCAGGCACCAGGCTTCCTGTGAGAATGCCAGATGTCACTAAAAAGCATCATAAGCATAGTTGTCCCCTTGTATTTGGGTGTGTGATGAAGATATATAGAGGTAATATATGGTGAAAGTAATGACTTGATGAATATTTATGACTCTAGGTATGAGTAGAATGATTCATACAAGCATTCTTTATAAGGAACGTTTTCATTCTAAGAATGGAAGACATCAGAAGAATGAATTCAGTAACTAGAGACAGCTAAACATTCACCAGAAAAATATTATGGAGATCTTAAACTACTCCTGTAATTTTTAGAAGCCTTCACTAATAGTTAAGACACCATTTAAAACATGCAGCAATTGTTGCTTTAGATTCATTCCATATTGTAAGGGTATCTGCAGTATGATACTGCAAGTATCTTAGCTGCATGCTATTTCAGACGTGCATTAAGTACAACCTGCACAGCAATGCCTTCTGCCAAGCTTTCAAATTGAAAAGAACTCATGTATCATCCACAAGAGAAAGGTAAACAACCACAGAGTATGATATACACATCAAATGACTTGCCAAGGATAATAATCATGGTTAAGGGAAAAGCCATCAGCACACGAATCTTTATACGTTAATCCTGTCACAGCTTTGTATCACTTCAGAGAAAGTGATGTTCCATCATCTTTTATGATAACATTATATTCTTTAATATAAGATAGTAACAAAGAGCCCAGGAAAAAAAGCCAATAATCAAGTCTACTTCAGGTCAGGAATGCACTCAAGATTAATGTTTCAGATGAAACACTATTCCATCTAAAGCAATCTCTCCTATACAACCTTAAGCTCTGTAGTGTAAGTACTACACTGAAGTAATAATTGGCCTATGCCATGCCTGAAGACATTGTTATAACTATTTATACTCACCTACTTCACTAGATTAAGTATTAGATTGGCCATAAGCATAGTTTCTCAGGCAGTTTTTAATCTGAAGTATTATCACTAACATCAAATTTCTCAGCATCTGGTTTTGCTGGGTGGCTGCTGATGGGTACAGAAGGTAACACTGGATGTGCAACTTGATAGTAGGTGCTCTAAGAAGTTTGAATTGGTGCTTTGTACATTTCTCACAGCTGCAGCATGGAGGCATTTATGTATAAATAAACCCAGCACCACATTGGCCATGTGTCTTTGTCTAGGCCATGTGGATTTAGGCATCAGACCAAACCCATAGCCCCCCTGCTTTCTATCAAACAGTTGGACGATGCCACAAAGGTCCCCATGCAATCACATGGCTTGTTAGGCTTTTTCAGGCTGGAGAGGTCAGATTTTGAGACTGGCAAATGTTGCAGCAGTAAGCATTCTGGCCAGCAAGGAGTGCTGTGCATTCCATGCATTTTCAAGGTTGTGCTTCCAGAAAGCATTTGGCAAGGGTGATTGATTTTGAGAGTTCGAAACCATCCAGAGAAGCAGAAAATGAAAGGAATAGAGAAGTGGTGCAGCAAAACTGGCATAAGTCAGGTTTAATTATTCAAATAGAAGATAATCCAGGAAGTGGCTGCAGCAGCATTATTAGTAAATAGCAAAAGCATTTAGGTAAATGGCTGGTTCAAGTTTCCTCTGTGATCCAGAGTGAGACTTCATCTGAGGAAACTACCCTTGGCACCAACGTCAATCTTTTTGAGAGGCAAAATTATTAATGAGATCATGAGAACACGTTGTTATTAACTACAATTTACACGGAGGCAAAGCCTGCCATCTGTTCATTGAGAACTAGAAGTTCTGGGTTTCAGAAATGCTTGACTAATTATGAACTTACTCCTTGAGAATAGCTTTCCCCATGGATTTTTCTAGTTCACTTCCTCATCATTAATAATTAGCTTACATCCACAGTAAGCATGCTTGATTAGCTGAGCAGAAAGCAATAGAAGCATCTGAGAGTATAAAGTATACCTGCATTTCAAGTAGAAAACTGAGTAAGAACTACAAGATTTAAGATTTTATAACCTGACAGGAAGCAACATTTCCAGAAACACACAAACAATACTGAAAGGAAAGACTTCTCACTGCAGGCTGATAATGTAGATGCACCATGACAGCACACTCAATAAATTGCATTGTAGCACCAGCTAGTGGTAAGAGTTAATGAAGGTGTACAGAGAGGAAAAGTAACAAATGTGTTTGCAACAGAAAAGCTTCAGATTACATGTAGCCTCCTATCCCAACTTTTTCCTCATGTTTCAAATACTTTCAAAACAAAGTTCCTCAGGAGTTTCACTGAGCATGCCTACACCATCCAAAAAGCACTTTCATTGTCCTTGATGCAGCTGCTAACAGTTAGAAGTGGTATGAGAAACAATCAAGCACTTTTGCTACACTTAGAGCTATTTCACCCTCAGAGCCAGCTTGTTACTGACAAATGGTATTTAGCCAGAAAATGCTACTGTTATGTTTTCCACAGAGCATCACCAGCATTCTCTCTCAGCATAAACTTACTGACACAAGAAATATCTCAGTGATTAATTCAGCTGTAAAACTCATGATCATTCATTTTCTGGACCCAATCCTACAGCATAGGAATTAGTTTACAGAGACAGTTGCAAAAAAATAAATCTAGTTTGCAATGGATACCATAAAATTTGATACTCTAAATGTAATTGGATTTCATCTTTATCTCTGTGTCACTATTGGTGTAATTTACACAGAATAGCAATACTGCTATTTTAAGAATACAGAAACTAAATGTTCAGTACTTCAGATGGCTTGACATTTGTAGGCTTCTCTGACCACCACAAAATGTAAATTGAAGTGCAGGTACTCCAGAACACCACCAGGTGGTACATATTCTCAAAGTGAGGTGAAAATAAAGATAACTTTCTTGTACACTGGTAGCCAGACCTACCTAAGTTTCAAGGAGAACTGATCACATCAACAACAAAAATCAAAACCTCCCAGACACAGCAAACTGAGAGCCTCTGTGGCAATGAACAGGGGCAAGAGAAACCAACAACAGCGCTGACCATGACAGAACAAGACAGCCAGGCTGCTCCTGCTTGCTGAGGTTGAATGAGGTCTGGAAAACAACAGTATTGCAGTCACTGATGTGCCCCAATGGGTGAAGAATACCACAAGAAAGTTGTAGAATTAAAGGCTGATCTACTGAGCTCTTTTCACCATAAAAAGAACCTACCTTTTTAATGCTGCCTATCTCTTAATCTCACTGGTTTTGGATACCTTGAAAACAAGATCTGATTAGGTTACTGAAGCATTTATCATTCACAGAGGTATGATGTGGTAAGCTCTGTAGAGACATTTATAATTTAAACAAGCAGCTTGAGAGCACAGGATTTATACATGGAAGACTGCTACATCAAGAGCAAGCTGCTGAAATATTTATAAATGTGAATTTCTAATGTGTAATGACTTCCAACAAATGATATTAATCTGTAGCAAAAGCTAAAACACTATTTTGCTACGGATTTCTGCTCCATACTTCACAGTTAAAAGCTATATATTAACTGCATCACACTAGTACAGTAAAGTGTGATTTGGAATTTTAATAATCAACAAGAATACAGGAGAAAGCACACTTGGCTATAGGATTTTGGGTGTCACTACCTTAGAATCTTTCAGAATATACTATAAAGTACAGAGGTATTTTGTTCAAAGAATGCAGGCCTAAATATATAGAACCTAGTTGAGTGACAGCTAGTTGAATAACAGCAAGAGCCTATTCACACTTGAGCAAAGCACAGCTGCTTAGAGGAAAAGCGATAGGATATGCCAAAAATACAGCCTGAGGAACTACCAGTGAGGCCCCAAAGGAAAACAACTGGAATCCCTGTAGTTCAATACATGTAATACTGAGCTGACAAATCATACATTATGTATCAAGTTTCTGCAAATCTTCAAGCCTACTTTTGTTTGGTTGAGAGTTCTTGCGACAGCTAAAGAGATTAGTGTTACTATTAGAGCTCAATAACCAAGACTAAAATACTTCAAGCAATTTCAAAAGCAAAGTCTGCATTTGCAGGAGATTTGCTATCACATAGTTATTATCTGAGGATGCCCTTATAGAGTCATCAAGCATTTGAAGCAGGCACTGTTATATTTGCAACATGACTTATTTGCATCTTTCATGTGTTGACTTATTCTATTCTGCACAGAACAAGTTCTAATTTCACCAGTGTAGTACCTGAGAATCTATTGTTACAGCCACATAACAGGCATTCACCACATGCATACTAGCCCCAGTGAGCTCTGTGATTGACTTGGTGTTTTCCACACACATTTGTTACTTATTTATCATTGCGATGCAAATGCCAGATTGCAGACAGTCTGCAGAAAACATTTGAGTACTGAATGAAGCACCAAATTCTTTTTTCAGTCACAGTCTGAAGGAAAAACTGCTATTGGTCACATCTATTGGATTATTTTAACAGTTCAGATCCATGAGAAAGCTTAAAGATGCCTTCAGTTATTTATTTTGAAGAAAACACCAAGATACAGCCATGGAAAAAATGCCTCAAAAGCATTAGTAGACACATACTTATTCCTGAACACAACACAGATGCATTCTTGCATTAGAAAAGCAAGTTTAAGAGTTCCCCCAGTCAGTGTACAGAAGTGTGACTAACCAAGGTTCATACTGGCCCTCCAGAGCTGCTGTCTCCTTTGATATATTGGCACAGGACCCCAAGTGCCTTTTCTCAGTTGACCAGAACGTGATTTGGTTCTGCTCAGCCAGCTGAGGTCTCAGATTTGCCCAAGCAGCACTTGGATAAAAAGAGCTTTTTTTCCTGAAACAGCTCAGTCCTTGACACATCTTATTTACTGACTGAAGTAGCTAATGAAGTCCAGCTTACCTCCTTCAACACCAAGATACAAAACAAACAATTTAGGAATCAACACTCAGAATATGCAATTAAGGAAAAAAAAGCATTCAGTGAAGACCATCTCTTAAGCCTTTAAACCATCATACAACTTAAAACCTCATTTTCAATGTACATCAATGAAGACCTCAGCCCAAATCCCAGACCTAGCTTCCCTGATCTCTGACTTCAAGTAAGTCAGAACTCAGCATACAGCTTTACAAGTATTTGTTTTCCCCCAGTAGAGTACTACCTTAGCGTAAGAGAGCTCTAATCTCTCTGCTTTGAAGGGTTTAAAGTCTACACCTATAATTCTTTTTATCTTTCCAATAATACACTTTTAACAAATTCACACAGACTCGGTACAACATCTTGGAATGTTCTAATAGAACTCTAGCAGACAGAAGTGCCTTACCTTTTTCTTCTCACAGTCCTTCCACGCTTCTTCATTTCTTCATATTTCTTCTGTCCCCCTGAATTTTGTGAAGAAAGAGAATGTGTAATTCAAACAGATACAGAGTTGTGAATCTCTAGCAGTCAAAAGGAATTGTTTTCTACTCTGTGGATCTTGTCTTAAAAAAGCAAACTAATCTTTCCTTAAAATAACTGTAAGCAAGAATCTCTTAGTTAATAAATTAAGTAATGCAAATCAATCACCGAGCATATCTTGTCTTAGCATAATTAGTGGAGCTCTTCAGCTGGTGAGGCTTTTTTTTACTTACCATAACAGTGATCATTTAAGTTTTTAACTAACAGACCTAAAGTACTTTTAGCTTCTCTTATTATTCCAACTCTTTATTTTAAGGTAAATAGCAATGCAAAACTTCTAAGAATATTAAGAAGCTTAAAAAAAAAACGAACTAATTTTGTTATCACAAAGCTATGACCTTTCATCAGTTGCAAGCTTAAGTAAAAAGCAGCTAGAATAATACTACCTTGTTTCCATGAAGTTTAGAGCTTCAGCTTTTCAAGAGTTCTTTTTTTATCTACAACATAGAACACAACAAACAAACAGTTAATAAAACAAGAAACAGTAAAAATAACATTGAATTAAGGAGCTTTTATAAAGAATTATACATCTATAATTGGAAGTAGATGATCTTTGAGCTCCCTTCCAACCCAAGCCATCCCATGATTCTATGAAGAATTCCAGCAGTCCTACACTGCTAGGCAATGAGAAGTAAAACACCAGTTTTGAGTAGAGACAACTGACAGTTTTAAAGACAATTCTTTAGAAAGCTGTTCAAGAATAAGCATTAAATAATAACATACACTGAAATAAATACTTTATAAAATCTCCAACTAAGCCAAGCATAAAATAGACCTATTCTAGCTATACTCTATTCTTTCCCTATTACTAGAGAAAGCCAAGCAAACCCTTTTCCTTGCCCTAGAAAAGTAATGTTAGTACTCAATAGAAAAGCTTTGCTTCTTTCAGCCTCAAAAAAGTGTAACTACTTAAGTAATGAATTAAAAATGCAAAACAAATTAAATAAACTCTAAAAAAATGATGAAGATAGGAGTGTTTTGTAGCTAGTGCTGTAAGTGTACAGGTTGGCTCGCTGGTAACTGCCTTGCCCAGTTTACAGTCTCAATGTTTCTAGAAGACAAAAAAAAGAAGTTAAAAGACCTAAGAAAATAATAAACCACTTATTTTCTAAATGGGATTCTCGGACCTTGGGTTCTTCTTGGAACTTCTTCTAGTGTTGTTAAGTTTTTGTTTGTTTTTAATATAAGGATGAAGTTTTTTACAACGAGGGCAGTGAGGCACTGCACAGGCTGCCCAGAGAGGTGGTGCAGACACCCAAGGTCAGGCTGGAGGGGCTCCGAGCACTGATGGAGCTGTGGGTGTCCCTGCTCACTGCAGCACAACTGGACCTGATGGCCTTGAGAGTCCCTTCCAACTCAAACCATTCTATGACTGTAGGATCTTAAGAATAGCTTGATTTGTATAAAAGTTATTAACGATAGTTTTGAAAAAACTTAGTATTGGTGAAGCTAGAAAGGTTTGTACTATGGGTAGTGCATGAAGGAAGGAAGATCTCTGCATCCTGTTACTTCCAGCCTGCTGTCAGTTGGTGGAGTTGCACTTTACAACACGGGCATTAAAACTCTGATTTTGCAGTCAATATCCTCCTTGCACACGAAAGCTCATTTTTGCAGCTATCCTTGCTGGAAACGCAGCGGGTTACACTCATAGAATCATCAAGGTTGGAAAAGACCTCCAAGATCCCCAAGTCCAACCACAACCCACCCACATCCCTCAGTGCCACATCTCCACACTGCACACCTGCAAGGACCGTGGCTTCACCACCTCTCTGAGCAGCTGTGCCAGCGCGTCGCTGCTCTTCCTGAGAAGAAATCATTCCTACAATCCAACCTGCACCCTGAGGCCATCACCTCTCATCCTATTGCTGCCAGCTGGGAGCAGAGAGGCCAACCCTGCCTCAGCACAGGAGTTGGATGGGGCGATGAGCTCTGTTCTGCAGGCTGACCATCCCTGCTCCCTCAGCAGGCTGCCAGAAAGCCCAGCTTGACAAGAAAGGCTCAGCTGGGATCTTCCTCGCCTGCTTGTGGAGGAAGCTCCCTGCTGCGTGGCTCAGTGTCGTGACACCACAGCCTCCCCGTACCGTTAATATTTCTCCTTGGTGGGCTGGTGCACGATAGCAAAATAACCAAAGAAACACAGAGTATCCGTATCTTCAACCCACATTAGCTTAATGACTCCAACCTGCGGCTAGAATCCACTCCATTCCTCACTCTTTTTCTTTTTTTTTTTCCACACAATAAATAGCAAACTCTTACCACAGAGGACAGAAAACCCCATAACGGGGTAAGAGAACCCGCTCTCCTCCACAGCTCATTGTCTGGGGATGAGGGCGGATGCCGGAGGCCGCGGTGAGGAGGACGGCTGGCTGCGGCAGATGGGACGAGCCGAGGCGCTCTCTGGTAAACATGGGGACGAAGCGGGGAGCCGGGGGGCAGCGGGGGCGGCCCCGCTCCAGAGGGGGTCCCGCTACGGGGGGCGCAGCCCGCTGGCCTCCCCCCAACGTCACTTCCGAGGCTGGAGACAAAATGGCGTCCGGACGGTGCCGGAGCCGAGGCCGTTCCGCGCCTTTTTGAGCCGGGCCGCGGATAGAGGAGAAAGAGGAGGACGACGAGGAGGCGGCGGTGGCCTCGCAGGTGAGAGAGAGGCGGCCCCGCGGGCGCTGCTGTGCCGGAGGGCGGGCCGGGCTGTGGGGGCGGTGGGCAGAGCCGGCAGCGCGGAGCCGGGGGCGCGGCGGGGAAGGGAAGGGGCCCGGGTTGTGCGGGGCTGTGGGGAGCGGGGGGTGCGGCCGGGCGGGTCGGCAGTGCGGGTCGTGCTGTTCGGTGCGGTGGTTGGTGATGTGGGTGAGGGGCCGAGGGCTCCCTCGGGAAGTTTGCAGGTGGCGGCGGGTTCTGTGCCTGCAGGTGGGGTGGTTTGACTGAGGGACTGGGCAGGCTGAGGTCGATGGGAGCGGGTGTCCGTTCTGCGCTTCGGTCGCCTCCAGCCCGTGTGTTGTTATGGGGCTGGAAGGCTGTGCTGGGAGAAAGGATCGGGGGGAGCTGGGCGGCAGCAGCTGAACAGGAGCCAGCAGTGTGTCCAGATGGCCCAAAGGCCATCAGCATCACAGAATGGCCAGGGTTGGAAGGGACCTCAAGCATCACGAAGCTCCAATCCGCTGCCACAGGCAGGGCCACCAACCTCCACATTTCATACCAGCCCAGGCTGCCCAGGGCCCCATCCAACCTGGCCTTGAACACCTCCAGGGATGGACGGGGCATCCACAGCCTCTCTGGGCAGCTGTTCCAGCACCTCACCACTCTCTCTGTAAAGAATTTCCCCCTGATGTCCAACCTAAATCTCCCTTCCCTCAACTTTAAACCATTTCCTCTCGTCCTGCAGTTATCTACCCTTTCAAAGAGTTGATTCCCCTCCTGTTTGCAGGCTCCCTTTAGGTATTGAAAGGCTGCAATGAGGTCACCCCGCAGCCTTGTTTTCTCCAGGCTGAACAAGCCTAGCTCTTTCAGCCTTTCTTCGTAATGGAGGTGCTCCAGTCCCCTGATCATCTTCATGGCCCTCCTCTGGACCCTCTCCAACAGCTCCCTGTCTTTCTTGTACTGGGGGCTCCCCTTGTCCTGCTGTTATCTACCCTTTCAAAGAGTTGATTCCCTTCCTTTTTGTAGGCTCCCTACAAACATCCTGGCTTGTATCAGCAGCAGTGCAGCCGGCAGGAGGTGATCATTCCTCTTGTGCTGTGGGCAGTGTTGGGTTCCTCACTACAATACAGGCATGGAGGCCCTGGAGTGTTTGCAGAGAAGGGAACGGAGCTGTGAGGGCTCTGGAGCTCAGTGCTGCAGTGAGTGATGCTGATATGATGGCTCCATCTGGAGAAGAGATGGCTCAGAACCCATCGCTCTCTATAGGGACCTGAAGGGAGGTTGTGGTGAGGTGGGCTCAGCCTCTGCACCTGCATAACTACTGATAGACAAGAGGTGATGGCCTTAAGTTGCTCCAGGAGAGGTTCAGGTTGGATATTAGGAAAAAATTCTCCAAAGGAGTGGTTGGGCACTAGAACAGGCTGCCCTGGGACGTGTTGGGCTCACTGAAGATGTAGTACTTGGACTTGCTTTAGTGTGTGATGCTGGTGGTAGGTGGACAGATGGGAAGTTTTTCACTCAGAGGGTGCTGACACACTGGAACAGGTTGCCCAAGGAGGTTGTGGATGCCCCATCCATGGAGGCATTCAAGGCCAGGCTGGATGTGGCTCTGGGCAGCCTGGTCTGCTGGTTGGTGACCCTGCACATAGCAGGGGGTTGAAACTAAACAATCATTGTGGTCCTTTTCAACCCAGAACCTTCTATGATCTTAGTGGTCTTTTCCAACTTTAATGATTTTATGATTCTATTTCACCCAACCCTGGGGTTTCTGTGCTGTAGTGCAGTGATACTGTGACAGGTCGGACAGCATCTTTGAGACCATCATTTGATGCCACAGCAGGTGAAGCCCTGCTGATGAGCACCTCATGAGTTTGCAGCTGTGGTCTTCTGTAGAGCTTTTAATGGTTTTAAGTTCCTATGAAGCTGGCAAAGATCCATTTTGAAGTAGTAAAGAATACTTTGAACCATTTGTAAAACTTGAAGATTGAGAGGATGGTGATGTTCTTGTACCTCTTATCTGAGCATTCAGTGACAAATGGCATTTTCCTTACTTTACATTTCAATACTCAACAATGGTCATCTCCCAGTGCTGGTAGGGCTGCTGGTATTCCTGATACAATACTTGAGGCAAAGCTGATCGATGGAGACCTATAAGAACCAAAAGATCTTTCCTCATGTAGGGGTTGCTACATGAGCTGTGTGGTGCTGCATGGTTTCATCATACACTGACTTGGGTTGGAAGGGACTTCAAAGATCATCCAGTTCCAACCCCTCTGCCATGGGCAGGGTTACTGCCCACTACTAAATCAGGTGCCAGCTCAGGTGGCCCAGGGCCCCATCAATGGCCTTGATCACTTGTGGGGCTCTCTGGGTAACAGTGCCAGGGCTTTGCTGCCCTCTGACTAAAGAATTTCCCTCTGATATTATTCTAAATCTCCCCTCTGTTAGTTTGAAGCCATTCCTCGTTGTCCTATCTCTATGTACTTCAGGCACATAGTTCAGCTCAGTGTTGTCCTCCCAGGGTTGGCTGGGTCAGAAGCATCTCAGCCCATCCACCCCATGTCTCAGAACATAAAAAAGGTCAAATTACTCTTCTAGAGGAACCCTGCTTATATGGAATAAAGGGCAAACAATCACTTTGGGGTTACAAAAGTGATATAATACGTAAAAAGGAGTTCTAAATACTGTCCTGCACTAGATGTCAGTCTCTTAAAACAAGTTCAGGGTGATTTAGAGGTAGCACTTGTAGAAATGTTTTTGCCTGTCACCAGTCTACAGCCACTGGTTGGTGTTCATGCCATACATGCAAGCAAGAGGCTCAACTGGGAGAGAGGATGGAAATGTAGGCTATGCCTTGCAGCAACAGCATGGTGCCTTTTTTATCATGAGCCACTTGCTTATGTGTGCAGATTGGAGACTGCAAGTTTTATGGGTTATTTTGTTTTTGTCAGAGATTTACAAACAGCCCGAGGTCGCAAGCTGATGCATGTTGAATATCCACACTGGGATACCTTGTTCCTTATATTTCCTCCTGAGTCTTTGATCTTTATAGTTAACAACTCCACATCTCAAAGAATTGATCATGCTTCATGCTCTCTCCTTTTGATTTACTGTTCCATCATTGTTAGAGTTCTGTAATTCAGCCCAATCTTTTACTCCTGTAAATCATTCTATTTCCCATACTGTGTAATACTTGCTGGAGTGTACTGCTCTCACAAAATCACTCTAGTTCACTAATTCTTCACACATGGCCATCTTTCCATGTGAACACTATAGAAAAGATACCAGTCATTTCAGTGCAGCCCTCTTCATCTGGGCTATGTTTATTTTGACTTAATTCAGATTATTTGGAGGAATCTTTGAACTATGCATAGTCCTGGCAAGTATCACAACACTTTTAAAGCACTGCTGTGCATTTCGTGTTGAATTTGTTGGCACGTGATGGGGCAGGTATGATCCTGATCCTGCTATGTAACATCGCCTCCAAAACGAAATGCTTTTCTTTACCAGTGCTGTGTTTTCTCAGACTGTATTCCTAGATGAAAAATGTTTGTTAGGTTTTTTTTTTTTGCCTCTGTGTAAAAGATGCTTGCAGACAGAAGTGGGAGGCAGCCCTGTATTGTGAAAAGAAACGTCTGGAACAGGTTGTTTTGTGTGCTTGTGAGCCTGCAGTGCACTTGTCTGATAAAATTGTCATTTGAATGTACTGCCTTTGCAAGCAGAATGAAAAGGTGTACTTATGTCTGAAACTGGAACAGTATTTATGTCTACTAGCAGTTTCAGGCACTTGGCATTTTCTGTTGCTTCTCTTGATTAGTTGCTGTTTCATTCTGAAGTGTTTTTTTTTTTAGAAAAATAGATGTGAAGGTGAAGAGTGTGGGGTTCATCTTTGTGTTAATTTCTTGGCATGGTTATTGAATAAACTCTCTTAATAACTACAGCTTATTTGTTTACCAAGCACTAAGCAAAACTTTATTTTTATCAGGCAAGAGGCAACAGATGTTACTGCTTTCATCATTTTATGCCCACTTTTCTCCATTTTCATTCTGGCAGTCTACAGTAACTGAAAGCTTCATTGCAACTGAGCGCCCATAGATAGCACTGTTGGTTCTGTCAAGTTTGTACTTATTAATCTTCCAGTGTTAACATGCATTTTTTTTGAAGCTTTCCTTAACCTAACATGCTGCAAATGTATGTAGAATGCTATTGTAGGGTTGAAGTGCAACAAGGTAAGCACCCAGATGTTAAAAAAAAAAAATAATGATCACTCATCTGCTATAATTAAAAGCTAAAGCAAAGGAAAAGATCATTTCTACCACCCTGCAGTTTCCCAGCCTGGAGCCTGGTTGGGAGAACAGGCTGCTGAGGCTTTCAGGTTTTGTTCCAGCTTTGTAATTGATGTGTTTTTACCTGGACAGAGACGTAATGCGTGTCCCATTTTCAGCTTCCAAAACAGAACTGATGCTCTCGTGCCTGTTTATTTTTCCTTCCTCTGAAATGGAAGTAATATTCCTTTTCAAATTGAAAGAATCATCGTCTAGAGATGATAACTGTGGCTTAGAAAAGCAGAAGGTGGATGGGTCAGCACAGCCACTGGAAGCACTTACTGGAAATACTGACCCAACCAATCCATAACACACGTAAAAATAACTAATTTAATACAAAATTAACAACATTAATTCCAAGGAAGACTTTCTAAGGAGCCTTTCT